CAAGGGACAATGCAAAGCTGGATCTTCTAGGTCCCTGCAGGGAGACTTAATAAAAAAAACAAGCAACCAAACACCTCTGACTGAAGGCAAAGGAAGAAATTAATGTTAAGTTTTGGATGGTATAGCTTTGGTGCTGAAGTCCACTATCAGAGAAAGGTTCATGACAGCCAGGAAACAGCAGTATTAGTAGTCAGATAATTAACCGGCTGCTTTGATGATCCTCTTCAAGGCCGTTCTGGTCAAGGTCTGCAGATTGGTTTCTCTGTTATATATGTCTGCATGTCCATCCTTTCCGTCTGCCTGTAGAGTTTCCAGGCTGCTCATCCCCTGTGATACCATAACGTCTATGTGCCTCCCAACAGCACCAGGCAAATAAACCACTTGCAGGCACGCGTCTTTCATGGTGTGTGTGTGTGTGTGTGTGTCAAAGTGGCTCCTGCTCCAGTTAGTCCAGGTATGTTTTTAAAAAGTCTAATAGTGATTTGGAGGAATAATCAGAGGCAAGGGCATTTGCTGAACATGCCCAGTGAGTCCAAGACAATGTCCTAAAAATCACCAGCCACACCAGCTGAAGCCCAGCGAGCTTCTAACACCCCGCCCAATTCATGGGAATCTCTGCAAAATTTTAGAGAAGCCCAGAGTTTGTCAGTCTACACTCTATAGTGTTTCCTACAGAGCTTAATTTATGTGGACATCATGGAAAATCCTGCAGTAGCTCAGCAAGTCCATCCAACCATGCAAACCTTGCTCCTGCAAGGGAGCATTGCCTATTCTTCCCCAAACAGGATGGGCTGAGGCTTTGCTCAAGTCCTTCAATGATTTCCTCAAAGTCCTGGCGCTGGAGAGAAACCACTCCTGATCCCTCATTTTGCATGCAGAAACCTGGCCCAGAACATCTCCTGCCAGGGCTCCCGAGGGAAAAAAGTACAAGTGCCAGCATCTGAATGATGTGAAATGATCCACAGCCTTCACAGGTGAAAAAAGTACTAATATGGTTTCGGGTTTCTTTAGCCTAATTTAGGTGCTGTGACTCGAGACACACTTTGGATGAAATGCTGCTCTTAGTTACAGGGTGATGATGTTGAGGCAATACAATGCCTTGGCATCAACGGCTGGTGTGGGTATCCAAGAGCAGGATTTCACCTCGCCCCTGAAAAAGCCAGATACCAAACACCAACCTTCAAAACAGAGTAAATCCAGAGCAGCACGCAGAATAGCTGGCTCCTTCTTGGACCAGAGCGGTCGCAACTCGAGCACATTAGAAAAGCATCCTAACACACACAACCGCTTCAGGTAGGAGGGTAAAGCCTCCTCCTGCCTGCCACGAGCGGACCTGCCCCCTTGGTGAGCTGGATGCTGTATGGAGGGTGGAAGGGTTTGGGAGGGGGCACAGGTGAAGAGAAACTCGCAATAATTAAAACAAAATAAAGGCATCATCTTTTTAGGTCAAAGCATATGCGTTGCAATACATACAATATGGAGACAGACAGTAACTGAAGGAGACATTGCCAAAACCTCACAAAACTAGACTGAATGCAAAAAATGTGTCCCTATCCCTGGTTACTAGTGTAGGAGACAAAAATTAGTGTCAGATAGACAGTCAACAAACAGCTTTTTTTTTACCCCAGCTGTCACTCTCCCGGTCAAACCCACCCTACAAGCACTGCATCAAACTGTGCCAAATTGCCCCAAGAGCATCGATGTTCAATCTCAGCAGCCCCCAGGAAGATCCGCTCGTTAGGTGAAGGACAGCGATGATGCAGCTCTGGCACGCTGGCTTCTTGCCTGCCTGGGATGGAACATCCATCCAGGCAGCCCTTGGAGGGACACGTGCCCCTTGGGTTGGGTATTCAGGAGGCTTTGGTATGCACCGGCCATGGTGCAAGGCTGGATCTGGGGATGGGCAACTCTTCTGGTTCCCGTTCCCCTCCTCACTGTTGCCTGGGGCTAACACTTGGGGCAGGCTCCGAGGAGGAAAACCATCACAGCTTGATGGGCTTTAAAGGAAGGGAAAAGAACATCAAGGGAAGAATGGCTGATTGCAAAACCCTTTCACCACAATTTTCTCCAAGATCTCAGAATATGACTCAGAGCTTATTAAATAGTGCGTCAGCCTCCTAAAGAAGTTTGTCCGCAAATAATTTTCTTGGTATTTCTTCTAAAAGAAGCCTTGAAAAACCCATTTACAAGTAAGCAGAGCAGATCAGATATAAACAGTTTTCCTTCTCACTGTCCTCTTTTCCACTCCACTGAATATATTTGAGCAAAATAAAGTAATGTGGAGGTATGGCCTTCAAAGAGAGATGCATTTTAAGCTACAGTAATCTGCTTATATTATTATAGATCCCCAGCCACCACGTATATTTAGACTTTCAACAAAATTTGCTAGGATTTTGCAAAGGTGGAAGAAATAAAGTAGGTTAAAAAGCAACGTTCATCTGAGCAACCTCATGGGTCTGCTTGTGGCATGTGCAATTTCTTACATGGAGGTTCGGTTGTTCCCGTCCCTTTCCCCTATGTTATATAGCTGCAAGCAGGCCCCTGCACTTACTCTGGACATGGTTTTGCAGCAAGTTGCTGCTCAAGGCTCGAGGAGATGGTTCAACAAGCAAAGCAGACAGCTCTTAGTGGCTTAGGCACAGAGAGAAGGACACCAACCCAAAGCCTGAAGTGCTTAGAAACCATCTTAGAAACCATCTTAGAAACCATTTCAGACATTGAAGATTAGAAAAAGGTTTCTGTTCTGTTTAAGTTTTGTTTCTGTAAGCATGTCTCCTTTAATAAGTACCCAGTGCTGATCTTTGCTTTTCCATATCCCAAACAGCTTACGAGCAAGTCTCCAGCCTGCCCAAGAATCTCAGTCAGCTGAAAACCAGCAAGAAGCTCCTGGGTTCTGCCTGGTGCAGCGTGACGGTTGCAAGACGTGCCGTGGCCAACGATTTGCTGACTGGATGTGAATAGGCACCCTCGCCCCAAGCCCACCAGGAGCCTGGGGCAGTCCTGGAGCACGTCAACTCCAAAACCAGTTACTGACATCCTCCAAACCTCCTGCCCATCCTCATGCCTCCACAACCAGCAGCAGGACAGTCTACCCGGGCATTCAATGACAATTCAGTGACAAATACTGTCATCTAAAGGCCCATCGGTGAGGTTGTAATTTATACAGAAGACTAAAGCACTTGCTGCTGGTCACATTACGCACACAGATGAAGATGAGAATTGCTTTTCCTCTCCCACAAAGCTTCCACCAAAGCCCATGGCTCTGGTGCCATCATCACCAGCAAGGAAAAAAGAAAAAAAAAATACTAAAACTAACAGGTGGCTGAAGGAAACTCCATGTAAAAGCAGGCTGGTGTACTGAAAGACCACGATGTGTCTGTAACACAGGGTTTGTATGGGGAACTTTATACATGAAATGTTCATTATCGAGAGAATGAACCATGTTTCAAAAGGGTGGACCCAATGCCATCACTGTTGTACTACTTGTCGAAGCTTTATAAAGTGCTTTTGAGAGAAAGATTTGTGGGATCAAGCCCCAGGACTCTTTAATTAGTAAAGTGTTTAAATAATTGAAATGCACAGTCTCTTGTCTCTCCTTAGCATGGCTACCTGCTCGAGAGCTGGTAAAAATTACAGAAAAAAATCATACGCAAGAGAACAGCTATTGCCTTGAAGAAGTCATAACAGATCAAATGGCTCTGTAGCACTAAGAGATGCCAACAGCCCTAAGAAGGATGATGTGATGGGAGTAAGGCAGTGAAACCTCATCTCCAGGGAGGCTGGGATGCTCAGGGCAGCCGCGTGTTCAAAGCAGCTGCCAAAATGCAGCAAGGATTTAGGAAAATCAGAATTTGCTGGCAATTTTTGACCATCAACAGGATAAAGATGCACGTAGTGAAACTTGCCAGAAAGGACTTTGTCACTGAGTTTTTATATGGCAAGCTATTGCAGCTAGGTAGCACTCGCATTGTCCCAATCCTGTGATACAGCAACCACTCGACTTGAACTGAGGTTGACAGGGGACCAGGGGACTGAGTTTGCAGCGTTCAGAAACAGTTTCTACCTTAAGAAGACAGCTTGATGCTGCAGCCTCACAAGTGGTGCTTGGAAACTGCTCTTGCTGGCGGTGCTCCCATCCAGTCCTGCATGAATAAGTCCAACCGGGTAACTCACAACAACGGTAACAGGGTCTCACCCTGATGGGTCCTCCCTACCCCACTGCCCCATCCACCACACAAACGCTGAAAGAAAACCCAGTGCAGGGAAAGGAGCATGAGGAAGTTGCTTTTTTTGTGACATATTCTAGGTGTGGCACAGCACTGCTAGGGAACAAAATCTTCTGGCGTGGACTGTCCAACCCTCCTTGAGGAGAACATTGGAAGAAATCTCTTTAGTTAAGAAATTCCTTAATATATTAGAGATTTTCAGAAGTCACAGGTGATTTTTGAGGGACTTGAAACCCTTTAAAGGGATTTGATTTTCAGAAGGTCCAGTGAAAAATGGCCAACGTTAAAGGGCTTTGGGCTGAGTGCCCCACTCAGCAGAAGATGCTATTAATGCAATCTCATAGTCTATTCCACATACATCACACATGTCAGAGCAATGAAATGAATATAGTACAGAAACCCATGTCCTGACAAAGTTTCTCTATGGGATGCAGTGCAAACCTGGCCCTCATATGGTGTCAAAGCAGGAACAAGTATCAGCACAGGTAACAATCTCCTTTAAAATAATAAATACAAATGGTGTATTTTTTTTTTCCTTAAGGTTTTTTTTTTTTTTTTTAAACTCATGACAGCATTTGTTAAAAATATTACATCTGCTTTTGAGAAGGTAACATCCTCTCCATTTAATATGGAAAAATAAACTCTACAGGACATGCAACAGATACCCCCAGTTGGCACAAAGCTGCTCCAAGAGATTAGCTCTACAGACTCACCAACGAGCCTTGTCCCTGGACTCTGAAAACATTGTGTTGTAGGAATGGTAAAAGACAAGAATACATAAAAACAGTAAAATGTTTATTTTCTTAGAAAAAAAGAGATTCAAAATGATTGTGATCACACTCCCATTCGTGCTCAGCAAAGCCAATACTGCAAGCTTAGTCCTTGATTAAGATACCTATTAAATGAAACTTTTTCCTCTTAAAATACAAATTCCTGCTCCTGCATCACTTCCAGTATTTCAGTGATAACATGCTTTTAATGGATAATAGTTTCTCAGCTTCTTCTCAGCAGAGAAACAAGGCCTGCCATGGCAAAAACATCCCATCTCCAAAGCTTGAAATCACCAGCATTAATAAGCACTCCGGCCTGAACGCAGACTGACAGACAGCTTAAGGGTGTTTCTTAGATGTTTGAATGTTCACTTATGGAAGCTTTGTATAACACTACCTCATCTGATAGAAAACAGGCCAGAAGCCTCAATAAAATCAACAACGTCTTTTGGATTAACTTTAAGGATTTGCTGCGTATCTGGACACAGAAAAAAAGTGAGAAGTTGCAACAAGTTTTAACTAGCAGCAACAAAAACAGTTCCTTATGAGTTCTTAGCAATATTCCTCATCTGTTCATTAAGAAACACTGTAACTGAATGGAGCATATAATGCGGAAATGATCTTCTTCTGTTATGTAGTGCTGTTCTCTCTAGAAGACTTCCAAAATGTCTCAACTGGGTTGTAATCTATTTACACAGTAGTATTCCTGGTGCAAGTGGCAGAATTGGCACTATGTGACATCCTCCTCTTCTGAACAATAATCACGACCCTGTAAGGAAAAAAGCCAGATGATAGTTTATAAATGACTACTGGAAGACAGGAATAACATAAACCAAGGGAGCATTTACTAACAATACATATAAGTTCTCTAAACTCAGGAGATTTAAGTTCAGAGCTGGGTAGAAACCTTAAAAACAGGGAACGGAGTTTGCACAACTCCTCCAACCATTTCTGGAAGGTTTGCATGACACCAAGATAGGAGATCCTTCCCTTTCTTTCGTAACTTTCATCCCCTATATGGAATTCCACGGGAAGTCCCATAAACTGATTTACAAAACTATTTTATGTAAAGATACACCTTGATGGACACAACCCTATAGATTTGTTGCAAAAACACAAGTCTCCAGGGCAAAAGCAATGAAGCACGTGATCCCATGAGCAACACAAGTCAACTGCTGTGAACAAGAATACCTCATCTGATAACCTCAAGAAGAGTTCAACGTAAGAGCAAAGGATACTATTTGTATTGAAATTACATTTGCACAATGGGGGAAAACAGACTAAGCTTCACAAAACATGGACTTCTTAGAGACCAGTCACGTTACACCTTCTGTCCCATCCCAAACACAAGACTTGCAGCAGCATCTATCTAGGTATTTATCCTTGGGAAGGCCTGAAGAAGATATGTCCCATCCCTCACTAGCTGTTTCTTGCAAAGTGGCAAGAAGACGACCCGACGGGACCCCCTGTCCTTGCTTCTCCACACACAAACAGCCAGAGCCGAGCTTTTCAACACACAAGCCACCCGACACATCCTGTGTAAAACACATGCCTCGGATGTAGTACCAAAAATCTCAGCCTCTGGAGTATTTCCCACTGTTCCTGTGTGCCAGGTGTACCACCCAAGCACTTGCCTGGAAAATCCCAGGAGCCAAGCAAAGGGCTGGCAAAGAAGAAGAAAAGGAGAAACATGAGAGTCTCAGACCTGCAATAAAGTCTAAAAGCTCAACACCGCCCTGTAAGCAGAAGAGACCAACTCAGTCGTGGCAGAATGGGTGAAGATCTACTCACTCAAGGGGGGCTACCGAGTTGCCCCACAAATCAAAACCAGTCACTGTCCTGTCTGGAAAGATGGGGGCAGGGAGAAAGAAGTAAAAAAAAGAAAAGGGAGAGATGTTTCTGGATGCAGCAATCAGTTTATTTGGGATGCACCGCTGGGATACATATCAGGAACAAGGGCTCCAAAATGTCTCTGCAATTAAATTCCCACTGACGATGCTGGGACTGCTGATCTCGCTTTGCTGGAGGGTCCACACCCAGGAATGTGTGATGCTTTAGCAGCTCCCTGTGGCCCAATACTACTAGTAAAAGGGCTTTCTTAGTACGTTAAAAAAAAACCAAACCCAAGAGACTAATCAGCCCTAATTCAGCAGGCAGTGACCCAGAAAGAAAGAAAAAAACCCCATATTTTTTAAAGTAAAAGATTTGACTCAAAGAAGGAATGCCTATATACTTTGCAGTGAAGCCCAAATCCATCGGTTTTTCTCTATACCAGGTACCACAATTCAATTGGACAAAACCATGAGATGAAGCTGGTTGTGATGAAGCCTGTGTCCAACATGCTTCAGAGCCGTGAAAGCCACCAGTAGCAAATGCTCACTGAGGCTCAGGGCATTTCCAGGAGATTCATTGATCTGGTTCCCCAGCCTCCTGCTCAAGAGGGAGCTCCATGGCCCAACATTCCCCACTATGCTCCACACCAGTGGCCATCAGTGCTATTAAAGGCTCAAACAGACCCAAAACACAGAAGAAAGCCATCTTGCATTTTTTCCCTACCATTCCTCTGGCCGTTCTTCTGCTTCTGGGCTTGCTCTGTGGTGACCAAGTGCATCACTCCTCAAAAGGATGCCAAGAAACCAGTTAAAAAGCAATGTCCTGAAGAAGTCCTTGCCATCGCATGGAAATATCACCTCTCACCGACTGCCTGGAGGCCACCAAGAGCCATGCTGCTGCCACCAGACCCTTTCTTTCCATTTTCACACTGGTGGCGATGGAGACATGTTGGTGTCTCAGAGGTGGCCTTCGAGGCCACAGCCCTTGGACACCAGCAGGCAGGGAGCTGTCGCCATCTCAGGCTTCCTGCCAGTCTCCTTCTTCCCATGAGCGCATGTGGGCAGCGGCGGCACAGACGAAAGGGGGAGGAGGGTGAGAACTGCCTGAAACATCATAAACACCTCCCACGTCATCCTGCAGCGTGACATGCAGCTCTTCCACCCACGGAGTCCAGCACGGACCTGCAACCCCGACCCGACCAGCTAATTTGATGCCCGAACTGCGGTAACGTCCAACAGCAAGATGAGGAGCCCCGCTGCAGCCCGAGGCTGCTGTATTTTTTTCAGGGAAATGCTCCAGAGCTAGGTTCACCCCGGCACTCACTGGACCAGGGGCAGCCCCCACCGACACACCAGCTGGCGGGAAGGGAGAGGATGCAGCGAGGGAGTGGGGGGACCAAAAAAAGGCTCCTGCAGCCACTCGGCAGCTAGCTGAAGTCTTCAGGTCCACTGCCCCTCTCTGCCACAGAGCTGCGCTCAGGAGCATGCTGTGACGCAGCAGAAGGGATGCATTTGTTACACACCAGGAATAACGTTGGAGCGAAGGCATGGAGGGCTGGTAACTTGCACACAAAATCAGGGATTTTGCTTTCACTTGGGTTTTGTGGAAAGTTAAGAGGACGTTGTGTTTCTTTCCTCAGCAGAAGGAACGGCCATGTCAACCCTCTCAGCAGTGGGATGCGACACAACTTGGGGGACCGCCCTGCTCTGTCAGGTTTAGCTTATTTTGTCAGGAATGGGAATCAGCTATGACAGCAAACACCCCGTTTTGCACGTACTCCTGCACCATCCCGGCTGTTCTACATCCAGTGCCCCAGTTACCCTGCAAAGACCCACACCAACACACACCCAGCATTTAATTCCAGTACGAAAATGAAGCATGTGGCACTCAGCCCAGCATGGTCTGAAGCCTGGCCCAGTTCAGTGGGGTTAAGCACATACTAGGCTTTAAGCACAAAGGAAACAGCATTTAAGCCCGGGAGCAGCTCATGAGCAGAAAGTTAAGCAGATAATTCAGCATTTTCTTGAAGGAGGGCTTGTAGTGAGATCTTGAGTAAATACACAGCAATGGGTATTTATCCTCCTAAAAAGAGCAGGAGGGGGGAAAACTATGCTATAAGGAAGCAAAAAAAGTTAAAATTACTTTTCTTTTTAGACAAAAGCTTTTGTCTAAAGCTTACTCCCTAATTATTTTTTTATCAGTAATAACAAGGTCAGTATTTCTCAGAAAGATCAGAGAAGGAATAAAGTTCCCTGTTCTCACTGTCTTCCCCCCGCTACACTGTAAATCTGACACACAGGGTTTTCTTTTTGGTGCTCCTTGGGCAGAAAGGCAGGAGAGGTCTCTATCTCCCTGCCGGCAGAGGAGGAAAGCTGCTTTGGTCCTGCTAAGCACCATGGCCCCAGTCCAGTAAATTACTTAAAAATGTCAAGTGTTGACCCCTTGCTTGTTTCAGAGAATGTTTGATAGCTGCTGGAGGAGATGATACCTTCAGTGGCCACACCTGTCATCAGTGAAAGGCCTGCTGTGCTTGAGATGGGGAATTACCTTGGTGGGGCTGGGCAAAACCTCACTTAAAATGGTAAGCTAACAGCTTGCAAAGCTGGTAAGGTCTTCTGAAGAAACCACGCTGAAATACTGAACATGGGAAGCAGCAGTCAGAAACTGAGCTCCACAATGTGAGCAGAGGAGCTCCGGTAGTATCCGAGTGCAGACCGAAGTGATGGTGGGGTTTTTTTTGGGAGCAGATCCGTGTCAAGAAGGAAAAGAAGGAAGCAGAGAAGGTGACAACCTCCCCAAATAGAGCAGCATCACGGCTGGAAAATGAGGGTGCAGGATTGCTGGCCAAACTCTGTTCCCTGCTGCCCAGGGGAGCAGGCTCCTGCATCCAGAGGAGCCAGAGACACAGAGCATGCAGCTAATAACAGGAATGTATGGGCCATCCTTTAACAATCCTTAACAGCATGGACTATTAAATAAGTTTTAATGATGGAGAGTGTAAATGCACTACACCAAGGAAGACGAGCACGGGAACACGTGCATCTAACTCCAGGTAATTCCTGAGGAATCCCATCTTCTTCCCCTGCAGTTTCAAAATCCAGCTTTTGACTTCTGTAGATGTCCACAGAAATGCCTTAACACAAGTGTGCAAATATAAGGTGGTTAAAAAAAAAGGCGGCTTATGCTCCTTTCCTGCTGCTTGTACCCGAACCAGAAGGGCTCATTCCCCTATTCTCTCCCCTCACTGCATCTAGAAAGTGCTACCATCCTGATGCCCCTACCAGGGCATGCATCACGGTTGATGACATCCTTTTAGAGAAAAAAAGAAAAAGGGGGGGAAAAAAAAAAAATCACAGGAAAAACCCTTTTCCCTATTGTTGTGGGTGACAGGCCAATAAACAAAACCCCATGCCGCCCGAATGCAGAAGCCTTCCCAGTTCAATAGCCTTTTGTGTGGCTGGCGGACTTGCTGAGGGAGAGAAGGCAGCTCAGGAGATGCTTCTTCCGCCACGGCTCTGCGGCTTGGCACCAGAATCCTCGTGCCGTGACCCAGGGGAGGAGAGGAGGAAGAGGAGGCTGGTCGGCCCGGGAGAGGGAAATGAACTGCACCAAGCAGCCCTTTCTTCTGCGATGGCTGAAAGAGCTTGTGGGACACAGTGGCCCCTTTCAGAGAAGATGGCCAGCACTGGGAAACATTAGCCTGGCTCTGCGGTGGGAACCCTTTTCATCAAGCTGGTTTTGTTTACAGCACTCACGGAAAGGATGGGAAGAAAATGCCAGGAGGCGGCACTAAATAATTGTATACTGTGCTAATTTTTGTCTGTTTCTTATTTTGTTAGAGAAAAATCAAGAGAGTCATTAAGAGCAATCCACGTTGCTAATGAGTTTTAGCCTAATAATTCTGCCCTTGCATATGTTTCGGTTACCAACCCTCCCTATTTCTAATGACACTCTTTAAATACGATACAAGGAGCTGCATTGTGTCTTCCCCCTGTGTTCAATGCCCAGTTTTACTAACAAGGGGACGGACCGAGTTGCTGCCAGGCATCTCTCCCATGGCCTCCCAACAACAAACTGGCAGTCTCCAACCCGGCTCCCAGCAGCCAGGTGTGCAGATCAGCGGAGAAACCCCTGCAAATCCATCCTGACACCCATGCTGGTGTTCAACACCAAGTTCTCTCTTGACTCAAAATGTCATCCCCTGTGGCAGCAGAAACATGATGCCCCGGGCTTGGGGCATCCACCGGCTGCATGAAAGTTCATAGCAATACATCTTCACATGCTACGACATTTTTTAAATCTTTTTTTTCCCATGAGCTTGTTTGCATCGTGATTACCTTTTATAAACCACTGTGGCCATGTAGGAAACAGATTACGGTGATGGGACCAGTGATGCTTTCCTCTGGTACAGCTCACTTGGGTTATTTTTAAACGACAAAGCCAGAGATGCTTCTCTTCTGGGCATACAATCCCCAGATACAATCCTAGAAATTGCTTGTCAACTGTTCAATTATACCTCAGCCTTGGTAGTTCTTCCTACAGTGAGACAGCTGCCTACACACTGTGCCACAGCCTACAGTGATAATATATAGTTAAAAGAGATAACTTCTGATGATCGTTTTACTGCTCTTGATGTAGGATTCAGAGAAAACAGTCATTTTTTCAGACCATTTTCTGTGATAGCCATCATCAAGATGTTTTCACTACCAAGCACTAAATGGGATAAATTTTCCACAGTCAACATTTTATACGTCACAGCTTTTACTTTTGCTTTTATTTCTTATATTCATGGAAGCCTTGGTGGGACAAGAGCCCCTCAAGTCTGTGGACTTGAGGCTGCAAAGTCTGTACCCGGGATTAACTCTCTGCTCTGAGCCATCCTGTTCAATTAATGTGATTTCTTCTTAGGGGGTAAGGTGGAGTTTGCGTGTGGTTCTGCACAATCAGGGTCCAAATACAGTTGAGATGTAGGGGTTGGGGGAAGACTGGAGAAATTTTAGGAGAGACAGGGTAGCTGTTCTGCTGTGTTTCATTGGCAACTCTTTGTGAATCCATATACAGTATCTAACTGAATTAGTCATTGCACAATTAGATTAGAGAGAACATACGTAACTAATTTATTTGCCTGAATACCAATACAAATGGCCTAATTTTGCTATAGTTTCTCGCTGCAGGCAGCAGAAAACACTGGGTGTCATGCAGACACGGACGCTGTTAGTGGGATGCATTTCTATCTTCTTAATCAGAGATGGCATTTTAAAAACAGGTTTATCACAGTGATGAGTGCAGCAACTTTCCCTGTCCTGGATCAGCTGGTGGGCCCCATTTCTCCACTTGTGGGCATCACGCAGATCTTGAATTTATCCAGTCTTGCTGCATTTGCTTTAGGAGGGACGTGTCAGTCGGTTGCTGCTTCCTTCTCGGGTTTCTGAAGTTGTATTTCTGCCTTGATTTCTCAGCTCAAGCAAATCATTTGCACGTCTGACCCCTATCTTTCTGATTCAATCTGGAGAGGCTCTCTCCTCGAGCTTCATTGCTCCCATTACCTGCTGCTCATCCTCTGCTAGAGTATACGACTTTAGGCAAACCAAATTTTCAAAAAATGATGGTAACACTGTCACCAGGCGAGCTGCCTGTCTCTGCTCTGTTTTCTTCCCAAACTCTTTGTATGGGAGTGCCTTTTTGTTTCCAAAAGCAAAGCCCATGACTCTACCCACAGTAACTTCAGTGAGCGTGAGACTTGCTGCAGCTGCTGGCAGATGTCAGGAGCATTTCTGAGACAGCTTTCACCATAACTCTCAGGCCTTGTGCTGCTCAAAGGTGACTTGGTCTTCCCTTTTCCTCTTATCTCCCAATGCAGTGCACACCCAGCCTTGGAGCTGCACTAAAGCTGTGCTCACTCTCTACCACTACAGCAGCATCCCATCCTCTGAAAATCATCCCCCAGCCGCGCTGAGATTTGTTCAACCATTTAATTGCTTGGTTCCTACCTCTGGATGCATGTTGTTATGCCACGGAAACACTATTACAAGTACTCTGTGGTCTGTCATGTACATACAACTACTGTTTCCTGTGCTGTTGACTGCTTAACTCTACCCAGCTACTCTCAACCTCCCATAAAATTGTGTATCTCTGGCTTCTCATCAGGTTTTGGGTGGTTTTTTAGCTCAAATTCTGCTGCCTCTGAAATGACTGCATCGACTCTAGCAGAACCAACATCCAACCCTATGTGCAAGGCTTTTACATTCTCAGTCAGTCCTGCCTCAGCATTCAGTGCCGAGCCTTCATTTCAGTATTTCCTCCTTCCAACAAATCCTATGAATTGAATTACCATAATCACACGCAGTCCTACACATGCAAGTTCAGCTTTATCTCTCCAAGCAGGGACAGAAATCAATGCAGAGATAGGAACAGATGTCTCCCTCTGAACGCTTCACAGTGTTTTGACACCGAATTCTGGTAGACAGAAGCTCTATGCGTTGGGGTTGACATTCTGCTTTTTACCTTTGGGTGGCATTTGCAGAAGGCAGTTCAGCCTTGTATGGGCAGCCAGGAACACAGCTGCGTGCCGGCTACTGACAGGAGCTAGACTTTCAGAGAAATTCTCCAGACTATTTCATTAAGGCTTTTTTTTGATCTCTAGGAATCATAAATACTTTGTATTTTCAGTTGCTAAAACATCAGCCTCTGTTCTTTCCATTTCACACTTTGATTGCAGAAATTTTATTTTAGCTCCCTGTCCATGTAATCATTTTTGCTGAGTCTGAAACACTCATTTAATTTTCCTCTCCAATTCATAGCACACACGTTAAGAGTTGTTCTTACTCATTTGTATTAGGTGACCTAACACCTCTTGGGATTTCAACACAAGTTGAGCGATGTTTTGCTTCTGACTGTAGAGTCTTTAAAGACATAGCCCATGGAGTCAGTGATGAACAGCATGTCTCCACTATAAATCCAACACTGCTCATGGCCATGGTTATCATGTGAACATTACAACATGTTTTGGGACCTCATCAATCATAGGAAATATCCCCCTACTTCTGCAGACTATTTTAGCTGTAACTGGTGAGCTGCTCAGTGATAGAATTCTTTTAATTGTTCAACTGCTGTCCTCCATTTCAGTGGAGAAGGGACTCAAAATGCTATTTAAGGATCAAACAAATCCCCTCATATTTTCCAATCTTTTTGGCACTTGCAGCATATACCTAGAAAAACAATGTACTGCAGGCAAAGATTAATTAAAAATGCCAAAACTTATTTTAGGAAGACTATTTCCTCAGGCACAGGAGGTCCCCAGAGAAAGCAAATCCCATGTTCAGCTGCGCATTAACTCCTGCCAATCCCATCAACTGCCAACAGCCTGAAATGCATGGGAGCTGTCTTTCTCTCTTTGACAGATAAAACTGCGTATTTTCTCTAAATAGGCAATCTCCTGATCTAGAAGATGAATTAGGACAAGAGCCCTGGAGAACACCTGCAAGCTTCAGAAAGCATGGTCCAAACAGTGAGGAGACACAGTCAACTGCATCTCAATGTGTCAGCTGCTGAACTAATGGTATTGCTGCCCTGAAACAAATCTTGAAAACAAAACCTAACCTCAATTCATAATTACATATGGCCATCAGATGGTTTAGTATGTAGATAAGATAGATCTTTGGAAAATCCATTTCACTGGAGACTCTGTGTTTGACATTATGGAAGGTGATGATGTCCAGGGAAAGCACTGAAATATTTATAGGGTGAATGCATTTATTCAAAGGAGATACAGCTATATCATGGATATGTAGAAATTCTAAGTTTAAATGCATATAGGTTAAGTAAAATCAGTAAAATCTTACTCCTCTGAAATACTAGTATAGAAATATTCTTCTCAGGAACCTACAAACTCCTCCTCACTTCTTCTCTTCCCCTTTATCTAACTTTTTCCTTTCATGAAGTTGGTTTTTTTTTTTTAGAGTAGCGTAACAAATTTGTTGGGACAAATA